GGCTGTATCATAAATAAATCTCCCACCGCTGACTATGTTATGCATTTTTATTCTTATTAGAGTATTGTGTTGTTAGCTTAGCAATACACTAGACAGCTGCCTAGGGTTTGAAACAGGTCTACAGAATCATTCACATAGGCACACACACACCTCTGCCCTTCTTGGAGTTTCTTTGCTCTTTTTCTTTGTCATGTTTCTCAGTGTCAGGAGATTCTGGCATGTCTTCTTCAATGGCCTCATCAGACTCCCAAGCCTGCAACACAAAACACACATACAAGAATTCAGAATAATTAGAGGGCCGAGGTAATGCAAGTGAAGACATATAGAAGAGTGATCTTACATATGTGTGTATGGCTTCAGTCAAAGCCTTGTGCCACTCATTGATGAGGCTCTCGTTGTCTGACTGCAAGAGGAGCTCCATGCCCTGTCGAGTCTTCAGCTAGACACATGAACACAATAAATCAAACAATATTTGTCACACAATTAATCACGTTTAGACATCAAGCTGTTCACCACAGCATCAGCCAAGCTCTGTGCAAAAAGGAAAGGATAATCCACTGCATGACCTTAATAACAGTTCAACATTCATATCTCTTTTAACCAAATCAATCAGAGAGAGAATTAGGTGAACCAGTTTCCAACCAGCTCTTTACCTCTAGAACATGTTTCTTGCTGGATTTGTCTTTAGATGCCCAGTCTACTGAACCGCCTTTGAGTTCCACACTAAACTCCAGCTTCTGGTCTCTTCCAAACTGTTGAGAAAGCATGAACACATAAAATGCACACCAGACATATAAAACTGAGTATATCACATATGCTACTGATGATTTTCTCTCAGCACTGAACTGTCACTCACCCAACCAGTCCCGCCCCCTTGGCCCTTATTAAATAGTAGTGAAGAACCCTGCAAAACTGTCCAATAGGAGGTCCAGTTCTTCCTGTGGGCATGACAAAAGGCAAACAAACAAAACAATATCAGCACAGCATGGTTAAGCATTTGTTCGCTCTGTCAAATGAATGAAAGCATTCCCTTCCCTGTTTGCTTTTACTTACCGGACCTTCTTTCCATGTTCAGTGATTTTAGTCATGTTTAAAGTGCCACATTTCTCTGATGGCTAGAACAGAGAAACAGATGTGAGAAGAGAGAAAGAAGACAAACCTAAATAAACAAACTACAATGAGATTGATGAACAGCAAGCGGCCACAGAATCAACCAAGAACAGAGTTAGAAGAAACCTAACTTTGTCTAGTCGCAACAGAGGCTGAACCACCATAAAAGAGAAATTACCACACATAAGCATAGTGATGGTTTAGGCCCGTTTGCAGTATGTTGTACTGAGCTATATTGCATTCTGTTCTTCAGTATTTAGTAAGGAAGCAGCACAGCAGACGCAACCAGTAAATCAATCTTATAAAATGAATAGTTTTAAAATCTGATTGGATGAGTTGCATTCAAACCACATGCAAATGTACACACACCTGTGATCACACATCAGTTTAATTCTGTATCAATGCACAAAACTGACTTTATTTTTTTACATCATTGCTAATGTAATCACTTTTTAAACAGTTTTGTCATATTGCTGTGGCATTCTAAATGCATTGATCCATTAGAGGTTGTCCAGTGATTTAACCGTAACCATTAAAGCACTCCACTTCAAATTGAGCCAATCCAACAAACACCCTTAAACCCTTAATGCTTGGGTTCTCATGGCTTATTGATTTATTATAACCCCACACCACAAGCACACATTAAAATAGGAGTGAAAATAGGGCAGGGCAACAAAGACAAACATAAAGGAGGACCAGGAGGAGAAGAGAGGGATGATGCTGATACTAACAGAGTGTGGGGTTTTAGGAGAGGAGGGACAGGAGGAGTCAGAGTCAGGTGAGCCAGTTTTGGTGTCCTACACAGGAAAACAACAAACCACATGACTCATGTACAATTTTATCAACACCTGTAATAATCAGGAAAAGTAATCCACAGTTGTCAATAGTAATCAATCACTGTACCTATTAATTCTGATCAATAACGGACAATATGTAATTCAGACAGCATTATATACACTATATACCTCCATTTCAGGGGAAGTCAGGATATTCTATCTTTGCTGGAAGTCTTAAAGTAAAAATCACCCATTCTAAAACTAGACAGGACTTACTGATCATTTAATCAAAGAATGTGATTAATCACACAGGTGTAAAGCATTTATCGAATCATTAAAGAGTTAATTCAAAAATATAAATTCTGTCATCAGCTCAACTTTATGCTGCTCAAAACCATCCACTGAAGATCCTTCCACTACTAAGTGTGAAGAGTTTCTTACATTTTTTTAATAGGAAAATTGTTGATTTACATTCTAAGATACTAAAACCGCTAGTAGATCCGTCTATTGACCTGGCTTCTGCCTGCTGCACGGAATGGACAGAATTTCACCCTATTACGTTTCCAGTTTTGGTGGACACTGTGAAGCATCTTAAATCTTCTTCATCAAAAGACGATGTTCTGTCTCCCTGCCTTTTCAAACAGGGTTTTGAGAGTGTTGGGACTACTGTGCTGAATTTAATTAACAACCGTCTCAGTCAGGGCATCTGTCCAGCTGGTTTTAAGCATGCTACAGTTCTCCCACTTTTAAAAAGGCCCAATCTGGCAGTGGAGGACACAAATAATTATAGACCAATTTCAAACCTACCTTTCCTTGCCAAGATATTAGAGAAACTGGTCTTTAAACAACTACAATCTTATACTACCTTAAATGCAATATGTGAGCCTTTTCAATCCGGTTTTAAGTCTGGTCATAGTACTGAGACAGTGTTGGTTAAGGTGCTAAATGACATCTATCTATCAACAGACAATGGCGAAAGTGTTATTTTAATTCTGCTTGATCTTAGTGTGGCATTCGATATGGTAGACCATAGGATTTTAATTGAGCGCCTTGAGCATTGGGGCGGCCTAAAAGGCAATGTGCTGAAATGGTTTGAATCTTATCTTACGGATAGGTCTTTTTCAGTGAGAGTTGGGAACTGTAATTCTTCAAGATTACATCTTCCTTGGGGAATTCCACAAGGGTCAATCTTGGCGCCGTTGCTGTTTTCCCTCTATATGCTGCCTTTGGGGGCTATATTTCGAAAACACAAAGTATCATTCCACTGCTATGCAGATGATACTCAGATTTATCTACCCGTGAGAGAGTCAAACCCAGATTCCATAAAGGTGTTAGTAGCTTGTTTACAGGAGGTAAAGGCCTGGATGGCTGCTAATTTTTTGTTGCTTAATGAAAATAAAACTGACATTATTGTTTTTGGCCCTAAGAATCAAGAAGTGACTCTGTTTAAATTCAACGCACCTGGCTGGCTTTATGAAAACCCATGTGAAAGACTTGGGCTTCGTTTTGGATAGTGAACTAAAGATGAACAGGCAAATAAATACAGTGGTGAGATCTTGTTTTTTTTCATTTACGTCTATTAGCGAAGACGAAACAGTTTTTATCTACCACTGATTTGGAGAAAGCCATTACGGCTCTCGTTTTCACTCGAATGGACTATTGTAACTCCCTTTATTTTGGAGTTGATTGTGGTGCACTGGGGCGCCTACAGAGAATCCAGAACGCAGCGGCGAGAATGATTAAGTCTGCAAAAAAACATGACTCAGTCACTCCATTACTTGCGTCTCTAAATTGGCTGCCGGTACGGCTTAAATAATTTATAGGATTCTTATTTTCGTTTTTATGGCCCTTCACAATTTAGCCCCTGGGTATTTGTCAAGTATGATATCAGTTTATATCCCTACGAGATCTCTGAGGTCTGAAAACCAACACCTCCTTTGTGTTACTAGGACAAAATACAAACACAGGGGAGATAGAGCCTTTTCGCGAGCTGGTCCAAAACTGTGGAATGACCTCCCTCATAGTATTAGATCCGTTAATTCACTACCGGTTTTCAAAGCTGCATTAAAAGCACATCTTTTAAAGACTAATGAGGAGTTGTTGTGATGCAGGTTTAGTTATTTTAAATTGTATCCATGTTGTTATGTGATTTGTGTTGTTATTTGAAACTATGCTTGTTTTTATGTAATTTTATTGTGATATTGTGAAGCACTTTGGGCAACCTGGTGTTGCATTAAACTGTGCTATATAAATAAATAAACAAACAAAACAAACAAACAAACAAGACAAAAGGTTGTGAGCAACATCAGCATGTGCACATGATGACAGTTGAAATTTAATGGTGAACGATTCCTTCAAGAATAATACATTCATGTGCAATTTCTCATGCAGTTCAAACACATATTCTACAGGATTTGTGCAGAAATCACTGTATATACTGAAATGAGTTGCAGTGGGTGAGAGTGTGCATGCAATCATCTCAGACGACGTGATTGGTTATTGGGATATAGGGGTGAGGCAACACTGACTTGTGGCCTATAAGGGTGAGAGCGGAAGGTGCTTTTGCGGTGCGGGGGTAAGGTTCGCCGGTCCTTGACGGATTTCTGTTTTAACTTCAGTCAAACATAAAGCACATGTAAACATCATCACCAAAATCAGGATGGGAGTCATTCACATCACTATAACCAAAAGTACCGTGTTCATTTTAACCAGACCAGCATTTGACAGTGCTTGTAAATATAATCACCCCTAAGCAGTTTCATGATGACACAAAACTTAATGAATTATTTAAATCATAGTCAAGCTTTTAATGTATTTAAATGATTAAATAAATAAAATATATACTGATATTACCGGCAGAAGTTAGAAGCTTGTAGTAAAACTTGTAGAAGAAATAGAAGTAGCAGTTAGATAAACTAAAATATCAGCTGTTTCAGCTACCAACTTAAAGGGTTAGTTCATCCAAAAATGAAAATTAGCCCATACATTACTCACCCTCAAGTCATCCTAGGTGTATATGACTTTCTTCTTTCAGATGAATCCAGTCGGAGTTATATAAAAAATTGTCTTTGATCTTTCAAGCTGTTTCATGGCACTCAGCGGGTGTTGCATGCTTCAGTTCAAAACAAGTTAAATAAAAAGCTCCCATCCATTAAAAAAAAAAAGTGTCTCACACGGCTCCGGAGGGTGAACAAAGGCCTTCTGTAGCGAATCGATGCGTTTTTGTAAGAAAAATATCCATATTCAAAACGTAATAAACACTTTAATGTAGCTTGCGCTCACTCAGTTCCGGGCGGATGACGTATGAGGTCAGCTTTGCGCATGCGCCGCTCAGAAGTGACGCATGCAGAAACGCAGCGGAGAAATCAAAACAAAACAACGGTCACTAATTAGAAGTACAAAATGAGGATTTGTAAAGAAGAATGTCAGAGGATTTCGATATAAGCCAAGAGGAGACTGGTTTTCTTTAGCTAAAGTAAGGAAACTTTGCTTCCTTTGCTCCTGTAAACAAACGTTGGTTTTCACGAGACTCACTGGTGCATGTGCAAAGCTGACCTCAGAGGTCATCCGCCTGGAACTGCTTCCCTTTACAACAGTGAGCGCAAGCTACATTAAAGTGATTATTACGTTTTGAATATGGATATTTTTCTTACAAAAACGCATCGATTCGCTACAGAAGGCCT